ATAATAAATATGGCGCCCACAGCGCTTAATATATTTACCGATAGCCAGAAGGCAATTAGGGCGATATCAGGCGATAGAACTAAATCTAAGACCGTATTGGGTTGTTAAAAAGCTTTAACTCAATACTCTCCCAGAGGTAAGGTTCACATCATATGGGTGCCAGCCCACACGGGAGTAGTCGGTAACGAAAGGGCGAATGTAATAGCTTTAAAAGGTAGGGAGCTCGAGGCAGTTAACCTGACAAACGCGAAATCATTCGACGCAACAAAAGCTGAACTAAAAATATGGGTGAGAGAATCCCATAAGGCCTCTTGGAATAATGAAACAGTGAGTAGAACACGAAGATCCTATGGGGTGACCCTGATGAGAGCAAGACGAAAAATCTCCTCAAAATAAGCAAGTCTAAAGTTAGTATGATGATACGTATTCTGAGTGGACACACAGGATTACGAGCACATCTATGCAAAATTGGACGGGCGGATTCAAACGAATGTAGAGCATGTGGAGAGGACAGTGAAACTTTGGAGCACTTTCTTTGCCACTGCCACGCATTCGTCGAACGACACCGCGTATTATACAATTTTTCGTTGCGTTTGTATGCTTTATATAGATTTTCGCGAATTCTCTGCGTATCAGATCCAATCTAGCAGCATTCGGAATGAGGTTAATTTCGGGATCATTCAAGATTTTAAGTTTTCGTGCCAACTGGTAAACGCTACCATGGCCAATCGTGTTCATACCGTATAAAGCGAAGTATGGCGTAACCCCTATGGCCGACTGCACGGAAGGCCTTAAGGAAAATTCAATTTCGGACAAATGTTTGTCCCATTCTGTATGGTCTTCCTGTAGATACGACCTTATGACTGCTAAAATGGACTGATTGGTGCACCAAAACTACTAACCATATCCGTAAATTCTTTGCTAACAAATTGTTTTCCGTTGTCAGAAACGATAGCTTCTGGTTTTCCAAATTTATGAAAAACCTAAGCAATTAGGAATTTGACAACATTTTTGGTGCTAGCTTTAGGCAAGGCCTTTAGAAACACGAACTTGATCAAATGGTCTAAGACGATTAATATATAAACGTTTCCGTTTTTCGACCGCGGGTACGGACCGGCTCCCATCGGTGGTCTGAGCGTAATATTCGCTGGCTTAGCTTGTAGATTTGACACGTTCTGACATAGTTTCTTATTTGGACATTTTGATTCGGCCAGTAAAAATGTTCTTTTACTCTATAGAGAGTCTTACCGACGCCTCCGTGAGACGCTTGGGGGGAATCATGACATGCTTTTATAATGTCAGATCTAGCGGTACCCATAACTTCCACGCGAAATCTTCATTCGTAGCTATACCGTCGTAACGTTTGTAAACGAAACCATCGACGACCTTTAAATCCGGCAATTGATCGGCATTTTTCTCGACTGAGTCTATGAGGTAACGATTATCTTCTTACCGGAAAGAAACTGAAGTTAGGTCAATGAGTTTAGGTACGTTTAACGAAATTTCGTCCATATCATAGCGAGAGAGGGTATCGGGTACTACATTTTGCTTCCCCTGCCTGTGTTCAATCGTAAAATCGTACGATTGCAGATGTAGACTCCATCTAGCTAAACGATCTGTCAAATCTTTATGACTCATGAGCCACTTCAGACTACTATGGTCCGTAATGACGGTAAAAGGCATCAACTCTATGTAGGGCCTAAACTTCTTAATCGCCAAGACTACAGCTAAACATTCTCGTTCAGTTACAGAATAGTTTCTCTGCGCTGACGTTACTTTGTGTGAAAAGTAGGCTATTGGGTGCTCTCCATCGGAATCATTCTTCTGGAAAAGCACTGCACCAATACCTACGTCAGACGCATCACACTGAACGAAGAAATGTTTGTTGAAATCAGGATCAGGAAACTAGACCTTCCTTGAGACGATCAAACGCGACCTTGGCTTCCTCCGAAAACTTGAATTGTTTACCCTTCTTCAGCGTTTCAAAGATTGGGGCTGCAATGGTAGCATATTCTGGTATAAATTTTCTATACCAGCCTGTTGCTCTCATGAAGCTCCGCACCTGTCTTGCTGTCTTATGGTAAGCAAAACGGGGATCACTTTATCCATTAAACGGCATAACCTTTGGGCCGCATTGCACAACCCGAAAGGCATGACCCTAAAATGGTAGAGTGGTCGTCCTGGCACCGTGAATGCAGTTTTCCCTTTACTGGACGATTCTAGCGGTATCTGCCAGAACGCGTCTTTTATGTCGACACTAGAGATGTATATCGTGTCTCTCAAACGGCTGAGCAAACCTTCGATGTGCGGCAATGGATAGGCATCCTTGACGGTCAGTGCATTGAGCTTACGTGCGTCCAGGCACAGCCGGCTTTTCTCGCCCCTGCGGACTAGAGTAACCGGATGACTCCATGGACTTTCACTAAGCTCATTCACCCCGAGGTCAAGCATCCTATCGAGCTCCGCGTACATCAACTTTTGCACTGCAGGATAGTGACGATCTTAAACTGGAATTTCATCACGAGTATCTACCGTATGCATTTACAAATTTGTTTTTCCTAAGCCCTTTATACTGTAGAAGGGAACATCGATATTACCAAATCTAATTTTCGTCGCTGATCCGGTGTCAGCTTATGAGTCACGACATCTAGGGTACTATCTGCCTCTTCGCAGAGACTAACTCCATTAGTCGTAAGACTCCCGAGACTGGAAACATTTTAAAAACCTTCATTAAATTGACTCCCAAGAAGAGCTCTCGGCACTAAATAGAATATGATAACATTTACCGCATCACGAAACCTAACTTCAGCCCTAACGCGACCTACAATTGGATGACTTGTGCCATCCGCGGTTTTAATAATGGTACTGAAATCGTGTACCTCCAGACCGGCTTTAGCCACGAATTGCATGCAGTTCTTACCGAGACACGTGATCGTTGCACCGCTATCGAGTAGACCGATTATCTCCTGGCCTCCTGTACTTAATCGATTATACAGACGTGAGTCTTCACCCTCGTAAAGTGAAGCCGACGAAATTTCATGTCGTATTCTTTTCCTTGCCCTATAGCGCTCTCGGGCTTTTCTAATTTTATTTGTCACTCGACCGAATATTCTACTTTTTGCTTAATTGTACTCTTGAATCCGAATATGCAGGGGCTTGAGTTCTCGAAGCCGGGGCTCAGATTTAAACGCAAACTCCGACCTATTAGAATTCTTTAATAGTCTCAATTGTGGTTGTTGTTGTTTTTCCCTACACTGTACTAAGCCTATACCTCGTTCGACCTCACCTCCCCAGTTCAAGAAGGGTTTCTGGACCGGTTTCCCTGACTTTTGGGACACCACGTCTAAATCTATCAGCGACAAATCCTCCTCCTCACAAACCAGTTCATTCACCCTATAGGTAACATTAGCTCGTTGGTACAGTTGTCTTTGGTTAGCGCTTAGATTCTCTGCTCCTCCGCATATGGGTGCTGCTGCTGGTTTCGGAGCTTTATGACCGCATTGTAGTAATCATCAAAAGCCTCTTGCGGCAACTGACGGCGATTGAGAATCTTCGTGCTCTTGTTCGAAACATATTTCGTGCTCTTGTTCGAAACGGCGGTATTGGGCTAAAAGGGCTTTCTCCAACTCCTCCCAGGTATTAATGTGGACAATTTTTTGGTAATCCCAGTACCAGCCTAGAGCGGGGTCATCGAGATGAAGATGGAAACTCCTCAGGATTTCATCATCAGAGCATCCATAATCCCTCCTCAACGCTCCAACTCTAAAACTTAATTCCTGGACATTCATAGTCTTACTGGTGCCATCAAATTTAACACCCCATTTGGCTAATTTGAACTTGTCTAATGGCTCTTGGTGTCCTGGCCTCGATATGGCCAAATTATAGTTTAGAGGCGGTGGCTGATTTTGGCCGGGTGGTCCAGACCAAGTATCCTGTGAATACCCAGCCTGGGACGCACTTTGCCGTTGACAATCGGCTTGTACACCTTGTGGCGGAGGTAGCCATAGTTGCTTCTGCTGGTTATAAGTGTGAGCTGACGGTTGGACGTATGGCAACTGGTTTTGTGGTTGTGGCTGGATATGCTGTTGCGCTGGATGCAGATTCTGGGAGTATCCCTGAGACCAAAGTTGCTGCGGCTGACTATAACACGCCGCCGGCTGCTGGATAAGCGGGAAAGGATTTTGCTGCTGAATCAGCGACTGCTGCTGCTGGTATGGTGTCTATACTGGAGGCGGCTGGATGCTAGCCTCTACTACTCTGGGAGCTGCTGGACCGACGGGCATATAATTTAGAGCTGGAATCAGCGGTGGTGGTTGCTGATAAGTCTGCGGAGCGGGTGACACGGCTGGTTGCCCATTCACTGACGGTTGTGCTTCTAAAGAAGTTCTTTGCGGTTGAAGCGGCAAGTCACGAGCTACGGGAAACATATTGGCTTGACTGACTGCTGGAAGTGACAACAAAAGCTGCTTTATGTCATCTAGCGCTCTCTGTATTCTCGTGTCGACTTCTTTCATCAATTGGACTTGGTGTAACCCAACCGAAGCAGTTACGATATTCTGGATGTCATCAACCTGAATGGAATTCTCCATTCCTTGGCCAGCCATACTTTCTCTCACTTCTCTACGTATGCTCTGCGCTGTTTCGCTGATGAACGTCGGGGACACTACCGTCTGATTCGCCCCGTCCGAACTAATGGACAAAATTAATGTACAATTCACTAGGACGCCAAAAAGGGCTTGTATATATGTATATATTTATATTTACAAAAAAGTCCGTAGTACTGAATCTTTTGCAGCGTAGGTACAAAAGAAAATATAACTAAAAGATTTTCGATCTTCCCAAAAAAAAAAAAAAAAAAAAAAATGAGAAAAAATCAAAATTCAAATAATTTGAATGCGGGCGGCATTATCGGATAAATAAAAATTTGCATTTAAGTTTTCACAATTTACATTGCTGATTTGTGTATAGATATGACTAAAATCAAAAAGATGTGTGAAAACTACTAATTGACTCTTCACAGTACGGGCAGCTTATAAAAGGATAAATCTTCCAGAATTTTAAGGACTACCTCCCTAGACCGGCTGCGACTTAAGAACGTAGGTATTCTTAATTTAAGTACAACTAGTATTAAACTATTGAAGATTAATTGAGGATATGGATGCAATCTTTTCCTTCCAACTTGCGCATTTAGAGATTAAGCTGTGTCTGTTATCTCTAAGCCTCAAGCTGTTAGGAAAAGATTGCAACTACGGAATCACGAATTCAGCATGCCCTTATTGCCCACACAAGATGTCGCAACGCGACCAGGACTCTTCTGTATTCGAGACCGGGACTTACATCTGTGTGAACAATAAGGAACATGCGCAATTAAGGATTCGTATCTATTAAAACCAAAAAAAGTGTATTTAAAAATTTCAAACTATTAACCTGTCAGTCTTAGTAGCTACAGCTAGGTACTCTTATTTTTAAAACCTAACTGGACTACACAGACCTAAGAAAATATATTTCTAATGTACCTACTTTCGGACCCCACTTTAGGCGCCATTTATGTAGTGGTGTGGTGTGACATCTGTTTGTTTAAAAGAAAACAATCAAAAAACAAAATAAACAAAAAGGGACTGAGTGGCCAGATGTTATGCTCGCGTTTGCCTTGGAGCTCGCCGGCAACCTGGACCACAAACACACACAATAACACAAAAATCATACCAGCTTTGGGTATTTAATAAAGTAAAGGGGCTCAAAGTAGTCCTGCATCTCCTTACGGTCATACCTATACACAAATTATGGCCCTCCCTCACGAGGATTCGTCCTCGCCATGACGTCATCTTTTTCGACGTCCCAGATCTTCCCTGCAAACATTTATTCACCCTACTAACCGCCGATTATTACAAATTTAACCAATCATATTAATGATAAAACTTTTACAAATTCATTTAAGCATTATAAAAAATTCTGTCTTAAGTTTTGACATATTTAGTTATAGGATAGGAGCAATATTTAGTAGTGTCCGACCGAACGTTCGGGTACGGGTTCGGAGTTCGGTAAAAGTGAGGTTCGGTGTTCGGCGAAATGTTGGCCGAACACCGAACGCCGAACTTTTTATAAAATGTTTTTTATCATATTTTTATATCATCAAAAAGTTAAAATGCTGAAAATCTGTTTACAGAAGTTATCAAACATTCTGGCTGTACAATAAATTTCAGATATACATAGGTACAAAACGCCTTTTTAACCGTTCGTTTTTTCGGCTGATTTGAAAAACTAGCTAAGCTTAGAAAAGTGAAACATTTAATTTGAATTATATAGTTTCGATTATAAATCTTTGATTTCATTTGTAACATCGAAATTTTCTAGGTCCTTATTCTCAAACGATCTAGACATGTCTGTCAGTCAGTCTCTTGAAAGAACGATAGGACCTAAACTATTGTTGCAGTTTGATTGGTATTCAAAATGGACAAAATCGGTTTACATTTGGACATGGCCTCCATATAATGTTCGCTTTAGAAAATTACTAACGTTCATAACAGGCTTAAAAATACTAGTATTTTTATGAAATTATACTTAAATTTTTTTATGAACCAAAATTTCATATAAATCGGCAAATTGAAATTTGCGAATTGTGTTAAGTATTATATATTTATTTTTTATTTTTTTAAAAACTAATTTCACTGATTCGATAAAATTCATTTTGATTTCGATACAGATTTAAAACGAAATTTTGATCACATTGGATCATAATATCGTGTATAACAATATTATGATAAATACAAAAATATCATGATGAAATATTTTGACGGTACACAGTGGTATAGGAAAAAAAAAAGAGGGAAATAATTCGGTAACTTCTAAACGGTTAATCCGATTTTAATGAAATTTGGTATGCACAAAGAGGAGGTGTTGTCGAGTTTAGGTTTTGAATTTGGACCTTATAGGCTAACCAGGGGCCCGGCGGGGGGTCCTCAAATTAGGACACCTCAGCTATGTTAAATTTTTAAAACGATCCTATTTCTTCATTTGAGTTCCGATTTAAAAAAAGCAGTAAATTATAACAGTACTAGGTAAATTCTCTAAAAGATGTTGAGTTTTCCCTAATTAATTTGTCACTTAAAAAACATTAGGTAGGCATGTTATATATCAATGGAAAGGTAGTTTTGTCTATTTTTCAAAACTGTATATAATTTTTGAAAATTAAAAAATTCGCGGCAGACTTTTTTTTAAAAAAAATTAAAAAATGTTTTTTATTCAGTTTTTGCGAAGATAAAAATTGTTCAAATTGCAATAAAAATTTTATTTATGAATATTTTTTGATGAAATTTTACAGTTAGGTAGATTTTTTTACTCAAAATCCAAAATTAAATAAAAATTTCGAATTTTCTTATTAGAAATCCCGGAATTCCCAAAAAAGTTTTAAAAGATTGATTTGTGTATGGATATGACCTAATTCTTTTCCCTATTTATGGTTTCAGGAAATGCAGAATACTAAATTAAACAAAATCAAAAAAATGTGTGAAAACTACTAATTGACTCTTCACAGTACGGGCAGCTTATAAAAGGATAAATCTTCCAGAATTTTAAGGACTACCTCCCTAGACCGGCTGCGACTTAAGAACGTAGGTATTCTTAATTTAAGTACAACTAGTATTAAACTATTGAAGATTAATTGAGGATATGGATGCAATCTTTTCCTTCCAACTTGCGCATTTAGAGATTAAGCTGTGTCTGTTATCTCTAAGCCTCAAGCTGTTAGGAAAAGATTGCAACTACGGAATCACGAATTCAGCATGCCCTTATTGCCCACACAAGATGTCGCAACGCGACCAGGACTCTTCTGTATTCGAGACCGGGACTTACATCTGTGTGAACAATAAGGAACATGCGCAATTAAGGATTCGTATCTATTAAAACCAAAAAAAGTGTATTTAAAAATTTCAAACTATTAACCTGTCAGTCTTAGTAGCTACAGCTAGGTACTCTTATTTTTAAAACCTAACTGGACTACACAGACCTAAGAAAATATATTTCTAATGTACCTACTTTCGGACCCCACTTTAGGCGCCATTTATGTAGTGGTGTGGTGTGACATCTGTTTGTTTAAAAGAAAACAATCAAAAAACAAAATAAACAAAAAGGGACTGAGTGGCCAGATGTTATGCTCGCGTTTGCCTTGGAGCTCGCCGGCAACCTGGACCACAAACACACACAATAACACAAAAATCATACCAGCTTTGGGTATTTAATAAAGTAAAGGGGCTCAAAGTAGTCCTGCATCTCCTTACGGTCATACCTATACACAAATTATGGCCCTCCCTCACGAGGATTCGTCCTCGCCATGACGTCATCTTTTTCGACGTCCCAGATCTTCCCTGCAAACATTTATTCACCCTACTAACCGCCGATTATTACAAATTTAACCAATCATATTAATGATAAAACTTTTACAAATTCATTTAAGCATTATAAAAAATTCTGTCTTAAGTTTTGACATATTTAGTTATAGGATAGGAGCAATATTTAGTAGTGTCCGACCGAACGTTCGGGTACGGGTTCGGAGTTCGGTAAAAGTGAGGTTCGGTGTTCGGCGAAATGTTGGCCGAACACCGAACGCCGAACTTTTTATAAAATGTTTTTTATCATATTTTTATATCATCAAAAAGTTAAAATGCTGAAAATCTGTTTACAGAAGTTATCAAACATTCTGGCTGTACAATAAATTTCAGATATACATAGGTACAAAACGCCTTTTTAACCGTTCGTTTTTTCGGCTGATTTGAAAAACTAGCTAAGCTTAGAAAAGTGAAACATTTAATTTGAATTATATAGTTTCGATTATAAATCTTTGATTTCATTTGTAACATCGAAATTTTCTAGGTCCTTATTCTCAAACGATCTAGACATGTCTGTCAGTCAGTCTCTTGAAAGAACGATAGGACCTAAACTATTGTTGCAGTTTGATTGGTATTCAAAATGGACAAAATCGGTTTACATTTGGACATGGCCTCCATATAATGTTCGCTTTAGAAAATTACTAACGTTCATAACAGGCTTAAAAATACTAGTATTTTTATGAAATTATACTTAAATTTTTTTATGAACCAAAATTTCATATAAATCGGCAAATTGAAATTTGCGAATTGTGTTAAGTATTATATATTTATTTTTTATTTTTTTAAAAACTAATTTCACTGATTCGATAAAATTCATTTTGATTTCGATACAGATTTAAAACGAAATTTTGATCACATTGGATCATAATATCGTGTATAACAATATTATGATAAATACAAAAATATCATGATGAAATATTTTGACGGTACACAGTGGTATAGGAAAAAAAAAAGAGGGAAATAATTCGGTAACTTCTAAACGGTTAATCCGATTTTAATGAAATTTGGTATGCACAAAGAGGAGGTGTTGTCGAGTTTAGGTTTTGAATTTGGACCTTATAGGCTAACCAGGGGCCCGGCGGGGGGTCCTCAAATTAGGACACCTCAGCTATGTTAAATTTTTAAAACGATCCTATTTCTTCATTTGAGTTCCGATTTAAAAAAAGCAGTAAATTATAACAGTACTAGGTAAATTCTCTAAAAGATGTTGAGTTTTCCCTAATTAATTTGTCACTTAAAAAACATTAGGTAGGCATGTTATATATCAATGGAAAGGTAGTTTTGTCTATTTTTCAAAACTGTATATAATTTTTGAAAATTAAAAAATTCGCGGCAGACTTTTTTTTAAAAAAAATTAAAAAATGTTTTTTATTCAGTTTTTGCGAAGATAAAAATTGTTCAAATTGCAATAAAAATTTTATTTATGAATATTTTTTGATGAAATTTTACAGTTAGGTAGATTTTTTTACTCAAAATCCAAAATTAAATAAAAATTTCGAATTTTCTTATTAGAAATCCCGGAATTCCCAAAAAAGTTTTAAAAGATTGATTTGTGTATGGATATGACCTAATTCTTTTCCCTATTTATGGTTTCAGGAAATGCAGAATACTAAATTAAACAAAATCAAAAAAATGTGTGAAAACTACTAATTGACTCTTCACAGTACGGGCAGCTTATAAAAGGATAAATCTTCCAGAATTTTAAGGACTACCTCCCTAGACCGGCTGCGACTTAAGAACGTAGGTATTCTTAATTTAAGTACAACTAGTATTAAACTATTGAAGATTAATTGAGGATATGGATGCAATCTTTTCCTTCCAACTTGCGCATTTAGAGATTAAGCTGTGTCTGTTATCTCTAAGCCTCAAGCTGTTAGGAAAAGATTGCAACTACGGAATCACGAATTCAGCATGCCCTTATTGCCCACACAAGATGTCGCAACGCGACCAGGACTCTTCTGTATTCGAGACCGGGACTTACATCTGTGTGAACAATAAGGAACATGCGCAATTAAGGATTCGTATCTATTAAAACCAAAAAAAGTGTATTTAAAAATTTCAAACTATTAACCTGTCAGTCTTAGTAGCTACAGCTAGGTACTCTTATTTTTAAAACCTAACTGGACTACACAGACCTAAGAAAATATATTTCTAATGTACCTACTTTCGGACCCCACTTTAGGCGCCATTTATGTAGTGGTGTGGTGTGACATCTGTTTGTTTAAAAGAAAACAATCAAAAAACAAAATAAACAAAAAGGGACTGAGTGGCCAGATGTTATGCTCGCGTTTGCCTTGGAGCTCGCCGCCAACCTGGACCACAAACACACACAATAACACAAAAATCATACCAGCTTTGGGTATTTAATAAAGTAAAGGGGCTCAAAGTAGTCCTGCATCTCCTTACGGTCATACCTATACACAAATTATGGCCCTCCCTCACGAGGATTCGTCCTCGCCATGACGTCATCTTTTTCGACGTCCCAGATCTTCCCTGCAAACATTTATTCACCCTACTAACCGCCGATTATTACAAATTTAACCAATCATATTAATGATAAAACTTTTACAAATTCATTTAAGCATTATAAAAAATTCTGTCTTAAGTTTTGAAATATTTAGTTATAGGATAGGAGCAATATTTAGTAGTGTCCGACCGAACGTTCGGGTACGGGTTCGGAGTTCGGTAAAAGTGAGGTTCGGTGTTCGGCGAAATGTTGGCCGAACACCGAACGCCGAACTTTTAATAAAATGTTTTTTATCATATTTTTATATCATCAAAAAGTTAAAATGCTGAAAATCTGTTTACAGAAGTTATCAAACATTCTGGCTGTACAATAAATTTCAGATATACATAGGTACAAAACGCCTTTTTAACCGTTCGTTTTTTCGGCTGATTTGAAAAACTAGCTAAGCTTAGAAAAGTGAAACATTTAATTTGAATTATATAGTTTCGATTATAAATCTTTGATTTCATTTGTAACATCGAAATTTTCTAGGTCCTTATTCTCAAACGATCTAGACATGTCTGTCAGTCAGTCTCTTGAAAGAACGATAGGACCTAAACTATTGTTGCAGTTTGATTGGTATTCAAAATGGACAAAATCGGTTTACATTTGGACATGGCCTCCATATAATGTTCGCTTTAGAAAATTACTAACGTTCATAACAGGCTTAAAAATACTAGTATTTTTATGAAATTATACTTAAATTTTTTTATGAACCAAAATTTCATATAAATCGGCAAATTGAAATTTGCGAATTGTGTTAAGTATTATATATTTATTTTTTATTTTTTTAAAAACTAATTTCACTGATTCGATAAAATTCATTTTGATTTCGATACAGATTTAAAACGAAATTTTGATCACATTGGATCATAATATCGTGTATAACAATATTATGATAAATACAAAAATATCATGATGAAATATTTTGACGGTACACAGTGGTATAGGAAAAAAAAAAGAGGGAAATAATTCGGTAACTTCTAAACGGTTAATCCGATTTTAATGAAATTTGGTATGCACAAAGAGGAGGTGTTGTCGAGTTTAGGTTTTGAATTTGGACCTTATAGGCTGACCAGGGGCCCGGCGGGGGGTCCTCAAATTAGGACACCTCAGCTATGTTAAATTTTTAAAACGATCCTATTTCTTCATTTGAGTTCCGATTTAAAAAAAGCAGTCAATTTTAACAGTACTAGGTAAATTCTCTAAAAGATGTTGAGTTTTCCCTAATTAATTTGTCACTTAAAAAACATTAGGTAGGCATGTTATATATCAATGGAAAGGTAGTTTTGTCTATTTTTCAAAACTGTATATAATTTTTGAAAATTAAAAAATTCGAGGCAGACTTTTTTTAAAAAAAATTAAAAAATGTTTTTTATTCAGTTTTTGCGAAGATAAAAATTTTTCAAATTGCAATAAAAATTTTATTTATGAATATTTTTTGATGAAATTTTACAGTTAGGTAGATTTTTTTACTCAAAATCCAAAATTAAATAAAAATTTCGAATTTTCTTATTAGAAATCCCGGAATTCCCAAAAAAAGTTTTAAAAGATCCCAAAAATGGGATTTTTTGGTTTTTTGCCTATTATATCCATACCAGGGGCGGGGTTATCGAAACCCCTTACAAAATGATTAAGAACATATTGGGTCATATAAAACAGGTCACTATAATTTGATATCGACTATGCGATTTGAGAATTTTTGCTCAAAATTGAATTTTCCATAAAAAAAAGGGTTTTTTTGGATGGACCTGGTCCCCTCGGTATCAAACATTTTTAGGTTTTGTTTCATTTCTGGTATTTTATGTAAAGTCAGCTTTCCAAAAAGTATAAATTCTATATACATCTTCTTAGAAACTTTTTAGATAACTTAAAAAGAAAAAGATACTTTTTTCCCAAAAAAATGGCAAAAAATCGCCTTTTTTTAATTTTTTAAATTAAAATGCCTATAACTTTGGACTCAGTCATGATTTTTACATAATTCTTTCACTGCTTGATATATAAACTTGTTGTTCAGCGAATAAAAAAAAAATTGCGAAAATCGGGAATATTTGGACCCGTTATTATTAAAAAACTAAAGTAAGGACGGTCAAAATTTTAAAATTTTAATTTTCAAATGCGAATATCTCCTAAACTATAAGAGATAATTTACTGCTGAGGACATTTTTTATAGTGCTTGAATAGGAGATTCTAGATACGAAATTTTTTTTAAATCGGAACTCAAATGAAGAAATAGGATCGTTTTAAAAATTTAACATAGCCGAGGTGTCCTAATTTGAGGACCCCCCGCCGGGCCCCTGGTTGGCCTATAAGGTCCAAATTCAAAACCTAAACTCGACAACACCTCCTCTTTGTGCATACCAAATTTCATTAAAATCGGATTAACCGTTTAGAAGTTACCGAATTATTTCCCTCTTTTTTTTTCCTGCGGTATTTAATCATATGATATTTTTAAATTGTTACTATAACGATAATATATAGACTACAATCATAATTTTAATCATATGTTGCTCTTATAACATGGTTACCACAACCATGTTTTTTCTCTGCGCGCTCTTACAGATAATTATAACATTGTCAATAACTCGTATAAAAACCAAAAATAAAAAAGGATTATTTTTCATTTAAAAAAGTTCGTGTTCACCGAACTTTGAAAACCGAACAAAGTTCGGGTTCGGCCGAACTTTTAAATTTACCGAAGTTCGGGTTCGGTAACGAACGAAATTTTGAGTTCGGTCGGACTCTAATATTTAGTTTTAAGTATTTAATCAAATTCAATTCTAAATTTTAGATTTTAGTTTAAAGTTTTAACAATTTTTAGGATTTTTAGCTTTAAGATTTTAACATTTAGGTTTTAAGATTTAAGTTTTAATCAAATTTTTAGCTTTTATTAAGTTTTTGAGTTTTTGTTATTCGATGTTATTTTTTTCTCTAATTTAAGTTTTCCCTTTTATTTCAGGTTCGCAATAGACTGCTGGCTGGACTATCTCCCAAGGATGCAAGTTTTATGACCACAGTTGGTGGCAGGTATGGTTTTCTCAAAATTTTGGCGTATAGGAAAAAAATAAAATTTGTTAATTAGCCATCATACATAGCTTTTTCCAAAATTATATGTTTCATTCTATGAGCAAACAAAAAGTATTAGTTTGTAAAATGGCGTACGTATTTGCAAAAATTGTCGTGTGCAGGGAAAAATTTAAAAAGAAGAAAGGGAAATGAAAAGTTGGCAACGCGGGGATATAAACAATTTGACAGCTGGAAAATATAAACAAAAATAAATCTAAAGTAAGAAAGAACTACACTACTTAAGCAAATGGCTAAAATGAAAATAAATTATTAGAAACCATATTGGCAACCGAGGTTTCTCGGTCCTTAAAAACTAAAATGCCGGTCCTTTTAATTTTTCCTGGCAAAGAAGAAGGTGGAGCCCGTGGCATAAATATAAGAATAACGAAATTTTAATTTGAATTTATTAATTGTTTCTGTTTGATGAACTTTAAAATTTAAAATTTTAATTTAAATAAAAGTAAACTTAAAACTAAATAGAATTAAACTTAAAACTAAATAAAAGTGAACTTAAAAATAAATAAAATTGTACTTAAAGCAAAATAAAATCAAGCTTAAAAATAAATCAGCAAGGCACACCAAGCCACGCCATCGCCTGCTCCATCCATCTTGGGACTCTTTTGACAGATCAGCACCAGCAATCCTGTGGTGCCCAGGTACCAGGTTTTCGACTCAAATTATACTATTATACCCCTTTACAGGAACGACCAAACGAATATGACCTTCATCTTTTAAGTAATTTCCTAGAAAATAAAAGATAAAAAAAGTTAGTTAAAGAAATATAAATCAACAAAATATATATATAAAAGTAGGCTTACCTGTCGTCTTTTTGTTCGTCGTCATCCCGTTTGTGACATTAAGCCAAACGTGCGCGAGTAGGGTTGAGCTCAGGCCTAATAGAAAATATATAAGTTTGCACTCAGGTTACCTAAAAATGTATATATTTAAAAAAAAGTAAACATTAAAATTATTTAAAAGGTTCTTACAATATATATATTTTTGTTACTTACCGTGAATACCCGAATGGACTGAAATAACACAATTTTGAGATAGAGTTTTTAATTTTTATCATCCTTCAGGAGTTCTGGTTAATTTATTGAAAATGAGTATTGAAAAAAATCAATAATATAAAATTAGGACTTTCTTATTCTACTTTATATTCTTTTTATTTTTAACAAATTTTTAGTAATTTTGTTGTCACATTTTTTAATTAAAAAAATACATAAATTTTTAAACTATTGTTGACAATTTATTTCAGAATTACAAACTTACGGATTTGAATATATCCCTCATACTATGAGGCTCATAATTCATTTCATACATTGTCATTTATATTTTTTCCGAAAAAATCTTGGAAGTATGAGTTATATACCTGACATCTATTCACCGAGATTTAAGATTATTTCAACGGAATTTTCAATATTTTTGAAAACCATTCTTAAAGAGTTTTGAGGAAGACAAATAAAAAGTTTTATATAAAAACTAAAACTCGAAATATTAAAATTTTCCTTCCAAAAACCCATATAGGTTTTATATCATGAGCACACTAATAGAGTTTTAATGTAATTTTTGCATTTAGAAATTGCTAAATTTAAAAAAAATTGAAATAATTTTTAGCATTTCTTTTGTTTTATCTTAATGCCACGCAACTTAATTTTTTACCCTACACCACTATACTGCATTTGAATATACTAATCGGCTAAGAATCATTTTCTTAATCGATTAAGCCATGTAAATCTGACCGTCTGGTACAGGTTGAAATTTTCAAAACAATTTGATGATGTTTGGCACGTATGCTTTTTTGGTCCAATGACAAACCTTCTAAAAATAATTAAAGTCTGTCCTTTCTTATACCTAGCCCCCATACATATACAAATGTATAAAGCAGAGTATGAAAACAAACGAAACATTTCGCAAACGTTTCCATAATGTACAAAACTTTTCAAAATTTTTAAATCGTTCTGTACATGAGCAAAACTAAAACAAATACTTTTTAAGTAAGAAAGATCGAAAACAAAACAATTGACTTTTCGCTCATCTACTTGCTTTTTTTTGCGTTTCGTTTAGTTTATTTTCATGCTCTGGTATAAAGCCTTTCTCAGAAGGTACAATTCAACATAAATACTTTATTACGAAAAATAAATCACATTTTATACTCATATCTGGAGTAGGTTATCATATGGTCAACCACGGCAGAATATACTTTCTTACTTGTTATAAATTACAATGAATAACAGTTACAAATTAATATGAATTGTTCATGAAAACACTTAAAAATTTTTAGCATTTCTTGGTATTTTAAAATCAAATTAGCATTTTTTGTAGCATTCTTTAGGATGGGATTTAGCCGCAACATTTTTTGAGACCTGGTCACACTGTTTGGTATACAAATCTTCTAATTAGGGTTCTATAGTTGAAACGAAAAGTCGACTTCTCGACTTTTTGCATGTTATGAAAAGTCGATTTTTCTACTTTTTTCATTTAATTAAAAGTCGACTTTTAGACTTTTCGACTATATGTATTTTATAAATAGTCGACTTTTCGACTTTTTCCGACTTTTCGAATTCTTTCGACTTTTCGATTTTTTCGATTATTTTTTGACTTTTTTCGAGTTTTTCAGACTATTCTAGAGTTTTTTACTTTTTTTCCACCTTTTTTAAGATTTTCGACTATTTTTGACTTGTTTCTACAATATTCGAGTTTTCGACTTTTTCCGACTTATCGACATTTTCCGACTTTTTTCGACTTTTTTCGACTTTCTTCGACTTTTTTCCACTTACCGATTTTTTTCGACTTATCGACTTTTATTAACAAAGTCGACTTTTTTCACAGACCATAGTCGAGTTGTCGACTTTTTTGGAACAAAATAGTCGACTTCGACTTTTCGACTTTTTTCGACAAAAAGTCGATTGTTCGAAAGTCGATTTATAGAACCCTACTTCTAATCTTCACACCACCTCAAAAAACTTTAAAATGAAGATAAATCTTCACACATGGCAACACTGCTTACAACACTTGCAAGAAACCCCAAATTTTATTTCTCATTTTGGAAACGATTATTTTGTACTGTTAATACTTATACATTAAATGTTATAAACCAAATAAGAATTATATCAATTCATAGTACATTCCTAAAGTTGTTTTATTGTTGTATTCCATATGCAGACATGAAAACATAACTCAAACAAAAACATTTATGAAAATCAGTAAAAATATTTATCTGTGTAAAAATCAAACAACCTGGTTATAAAAATAATAAAAAATATTTATAAAAATCTAAATTAAATAAACAAGCGATTGTTAGCAAAAAAAATTTTTTCATATTTTTTCTGTGTGATAAAATCACGATGTCATAAACAAATTTCGAATTGACCGATTTTCAAAGTATTGTTTATGAAAAGAAATGTATTAATAATATACAATCTTAGATGTTTTATTTATAATTATACTTTATTTATACTTATTCATTTAAATTGGTTCATTTTGAAGTACAATGTATGATGTTTAACAACACTTATTCATATAATTAAAACGGAACTACGTTTTACTATAGTATCAATACATATTTACAATACATTACAAGTTTTTTGAGCATTTATCATCGACCCCGAAGGGCATTTGAATACCTCTGTGGCACTTCCGCCTTGCGCTACCAACCATCCCAAACTGTAAAAAAGAAAAAAATATTTAGTAGGTATACTTTGTTTAGAATAAGGAACGAATATAAAAATCCTATTTTCGGATTTCACATCTTCGATTTTAATTATGGTTTCAAAAAGCAGCGAAAGGCTTTTGTTTGTTTTTTTATATATGTATGTGTTAGCACCAGGGATGGCAAATGGAATTTTCAAATTGTACAAAACAACATTTAAAATTGTGCTTTTTACTATATCTATCTATGGACAAGAGAATAGAGTAGTCTATAAACTAGACATTAGACTAGTCTTTGGTTAGACATTATAGTCTAGTTAGTAAACAAGACCATAGAAAAACGATCGGATAAAAAGTAATCCTAAAAAATAATCCCATTGTTAAATGCTATAACTGATTGTGTGATTGTAATACCTTTCAGGACAGAATGGTATATGAGAATTATGTATGTCTTCTTCTGAAGTAAAAATTTTACCGACGGTAGTTCTTTGTGTTAAAAGAGCAATTTTAAATTATTATTTCAATAAGGGAATATATTTAAAATTGTATAAACTTGTTCATTGGTGTACCTAACATAGTGCCAATTTTGCCAACCCATTTTAGCACCCATACGCTTAAAAGAAAAAGTACAACAGAGATCAATGCGTTTCGCTGTTTTAAAGTGTTTTTCAAATTAGGGATGTATCGATTCGCTCGCATTCGCACATGACTTTTGGAAATGTCGTTACAACTCGATTTTTCATCGAAATAAATAATGAATTTTTGCCATTCTCACAACAAAAATTCTATTCAAATTTACTTGAAATATACTATTTGCATTTAATTGTTGATAAACCAAAGCCGGGGGGGGGGGCTGTGGTTGTGGGTCATCAAATGATGGTAACACTGCAAGACAATTTTTTAATAATCCTAAAATTGCTGCCAAAATAACTGGAGTTGACGAATAGATTGTAATTAGGTATGCAACATTCTCCAAGCCATGTCATCGGGGTATAAAATAAATGCAGATAAATTTAAACAGTTCGCACTTGATACCGCTAAGTTGATGGTAGAGAAATACCCCTGGTTTTATCTTCCTCCATCCATACACAAGATTCTTCTGCATGGTTTGGAAGTAATTAAACACGCAGTAGTATCAACTGGTGAATTGTCCGAAGAAGCTGCGGAAGCTAAAAATAAAGATATTCGCAATTATAGGCTACTACATACAAGAAAAATGTCCCGCGTTGCAACAAACACCGACCTATTACACATGTTATTATTGAGCTCGGATCCGGCAACGAAAACTCGCAAGTAAAAAGAAAAGTACTTTATCAAAATCTACAATTGAATTGAGCTCGGATCCGGCAACGAAAACTCGCATGTAAAAAGAAAAGTACTTTATCAAAGTCTACAATTGAATTACTAGAATAATATTTTTTTTGCATATACTTTTTTATGTTTTATAATAATATATAATAAAAAATAATGTTTTATTTTAATTATCTGTTTTAGACGCGTTAATGTACAAAAAAACTGCATCATTCTTAGTTCAATTCCCAAATTAATTATTAACAACAAATTTACAACTTCTACATAAAATTTATGATTATATTATGTATTGGTGTATACATATATAAAATGGGCGTGGTCAACATTTTTATAAAATTTATGTTTATACCGTGACAAATATGGAAATAAGTTTTAGGATTTTTTAAATTAATGCATAGAAAGTGAGCGTGGTCAATATTTTTGTTGTTGTTTTTTATACCGTTAGGAACATACTGTCGAACTTTCAAGATTATATTCTACCTATTTCTATTTTTGTCGCCTTCTTCTATATAAGTGCCGTAGTAGTATTGAAATGGGAAGGCAGAAGAAAATCTGCCTTCCCATTTGTTTTCAGTGAAGAACACTGTTGCCAACTTTTTTCCCAAAAATATCGCTAAAGTCGACTGAAAAATAGCTAGAAAATAGCTAAATTCAAGACATTTTGAAAAATTTAGAGATAAATCGTCAAAATAATATTTATTATATGATTCTGAAAACAAATAGCTAAAAAAACTAGCTAAATTTTTCAGATTTTTTATATTATTCTAAAAAGTCAGCGATTTATCGCTAAAATCTATATACATACGTAGGAATGGGATAGTGATACAAACACATCTTATAACAAACACATAAGAGAATCTTTTTTTATGTTAAATATTTTCACTTTGGGTTAGGAAAAATGTCAAGTTGAGGTTAATTTCGATATGCGACCCTATACAGATTGCTTTAGAAATGTTGTAAAGATAAATTGAATTTCGAAATGCTGGCCTTTATGGATCGATCCTCTATTTTCAGCATAAGAGTATTATTTATTTTTCCATTACAATACAATTACAAATTATATTCTTACCTAATTTACCGAGCAGGGTGACGATAACCATACGACCGTTGTAGTGTAGCAGACCAGGATCTCTGCTGGAAATCAAACCCACAACCCTCAGACTGACAGGCTAGCACACTACCAACTAGCCTACCGGGGCACCCAAGATCATTATTATACACTCCTTTTGTGGGAAGTTTATCTGCAATATCGATATGCGGCCCTATACGCCTTAGAAATGTTGTAAATTTTTAGGACTATATGGATCGATCCTTTCGTCACTTATTTCCAATGTTCACTAATTTTTAGAATTATGGTAAATTTTATTATCATATAACTCATTTACTAAAAGACTAGAATAATTAAATATTCGTTTTTGAGTACAACAAAATATACCCCTTTTAAAGTTTTTCGTATAACTTTACCTGTACGCACAAATATTTGCTCCTAATTATGTTCTTCAGAACATTCAAAATAAGTATAATACACACAGCTAAAACTCAAATAATTTACATTGAATGCATATTTTTATATACATACAGATATGTAAATCGTCATTCGTAGCAACTTTTAAGCGATATTATCAAAATATAAATGAAATCTAAAGAAAAATCGCTAGATTTCCCGCTAATAGCTAAATCATATTTTTCGCCGCAAAATGCGGTTAAAAATCGCTAGATTTGACGAGAAAATAGCTAAATTGGCAACAGTGGTGAAGAAGAAAATGTTTTTTTTGAAATTGCAAACTTGCAGAATGGGAAGAAATTATTTTTACTGAAAATTGACAACAATATATTTATTTTGTAAGAAAAAAAAAAATTGTTCACTGAATGTATTATTTTTCCATGTTCAGAAACTCAGTTTCCTGGACGTAATTCCTAAGAATCTTCCAATTGCTGTTGGTTAAGAATGTTATTTCCGGAATAACATCACTTCCAAGATACTTGGATCTAATTTCGACGAATGCCTGACAATGGCAAAGAAAGTGCTCCAGACTTTCACTGTCCTCTCCACATGCTCTACATTCGTCTGAATCCGCACGTCCAATTTTGTATAGATGTGCTCGTAATCCTGTGTGTCCACTCATAATACGTACCATTATACTAACCTCAGACTTGCTCATTTTGAGATTTCTCGTCTTGCTCTCATCAGGGTCACCCCATAGAATCTTTGTGGTTCTACCCACTGTTTCATTATTCCAAGAGGCCTTATGGGTTTAACCAATATTTTTAGTTCAGCTTTTGTTGCGTCGAATGGTTTCGCGTTTGTTAGGTTAACTGCCTCGAGCTGCCTACCTTTTAAAGCTATTACATTCGTCCTTTCATTACCGACTACTCCCGTGTGGGCTGGTACCCATATGTTGTGAACCTTACCTCTGGGAGAGTATTCAGTTAAAGCTTTCTTAGATTTAATTCTATCACCTGATATCGCACTAATTGCCTTCTGGCTGTCGGTAAATATATTAAGCCCTGTGGGCGCCATATTTTTTCTAATCCAATTTACACATTCCGTTATTGCTCGTAATTCTGTCTGGAAGCTTGTGTTATGATTAGGTAAACGGTGGTATATTTCTGTTTCTGGATCTTCTATATAGAACCCCAATTTAGAGCCATCCGTGTAACAACGGATTCCTACTGGTATTTGCTCTAATGTTCCGCTTGACCAAGACATACTATCTGGGATCAGCGTTTCAAAGTTTCCGACATATTCTGTGTCTGGTATACGATCAGGCACGTCCGATGAATGTGTATAACCTTCCAATGTGTCCAGTATACATTGATGACGTGTCTTATAACCGTTTTTGGCCAGTTCGCCTAAAGTAAAGAGCCGTTCGGCTGTAAGCGCCGCCTCTTATCTTATATATGTTTCAATGGGTGGAATATCTAGCAACGTTTCCAGAGCCTTGGTTGAAGTAATATCCTCTACTGTAATATCACCCGTATGTTTATAGGAGAGCATTCTTTTTACGGCATACGGTTTGATGGTGGGTATATTAGATTCGGCATAGTCGAATATAGTACCCTTACTTGTTAATTTTCAATTAATTAATAGTATCAAATCAAAACTTTTTTAATTAATATGAGCAATTTCATAATTGAAATTCATTTAAAATTTTTTCTGTGTAAGTTATTTTCGGAAATGATCCTTAATTATCGACCGATTCGGGAAAAATTTCGCATAATCATTTATATATACACAGAACATATTAACGTTGAATTTTACCCCTATAGCTTTATTAGTTAATGAAATATGTCCGTTTATGTGATTTTCGGAAGTTGACCTTTTATGGGAGCTATGACCAATTACGGGACTATCCCGAAAAAAATCGTAGAGTGATTGATACATACACTAAACATATTCATGTCGAACTTTATCTCGATAGCTTTATTTATCAATGATATATGCGTGTTTAAGTTACTTTCGGAAGTGGGCCTTATATGGGAGACATAACCAATTGTGGACAACAATCTACGTTAGTGGTACGATTTCTGTTCATATTATATTTATACATATGTGCAAAATTTTGAGTTGATACCTATTAACCATAAATCCATTTCCGGATATATGTGTGTACCTTTGTTTTTTTTTTTTTTTTAATTTTATTTGAATCTTTCTTATATAGAAATTTACAATAAGTATTAAAATCTTAACCTAAACTATAACT